GCATAAGAACAAGGGCCGTGGTTTACTAATGCTTAGGACCAAGGGGCATGGTTTACTAATGCTTAGGACCAAGGGGCGTGGTTTACTAATGCTTAGGCTCACGCAGAGGGTTTACTAATGCATAGAACCAAGGGGCGTGGTTTACTAATGCATAGAACCAAGGGGCGTGGTTTACTAACGCTTAGGACCAAGGGGCGTGGTTTACTAATGCTTAGGCTCACACAGAGGGTTTACTAATGCATAGAACCAAGGGGCGTGGTTTACTGATGCTTAGGCTCACACAGAGGGTTTACTAATGCATAGAACCAAGGGGCGTGGTTTACTAATGCTTAGGACCAGGGGGCGTGGTTTAGTGATGCTTAGGACCAAGGGGCGTGGTTTACTGATGCTTAGGCTCACGCAGAGGGTTTACTAATGCATAGAACCAAGGGCCGTGGTTTACTAATGCATAGAACCAAGGGCCGTGGTTTACTAATGCTTAGGACCAGGGGGCGTGGTTTACTGATGCTTAGGACCAGGGGGCGTGGTTTACTGATGCTTAGGCTCACACAGAGGGTTTACTAATGCATAGAACCAAGGGGCGTGGTTTATTAATGCTTAGGACCAAGAGGCGTGGTTTACTAATGCTTAGGACCAGGGGGCGTGGTTTTCTAATGCTTAGGACCAAGGGGCATGGTTTACTAATGCTTAGGACCAGGGGGCGTGGTTTACTGATGCTTAGGACCAAGGAGCGTGGTTTACTAATGCTTAGGACCAAGGGGCGTGGTTTACTAATGCTTAGGACCAGGGGGAGTGGTTTACTAATGCTTAGGCTCACACAGAGGGTTTACTAATGCATACGAACAAGGGCCGTGGTTTACTAATGCTTAGGACCAAGGGGCGTGGTTTACTAATGCTTAGGACCAAGGGCTGTGGTTAACTAATGCTTAGTCTCACTTGATGGCCCAGCATTGAGTCGACCACAAAGTGACACTTGTGTGTTGAAAGGACTTGTGTGTTTGAATGTCCTAGAGAACTCACCGGTCGTCCCCGGTTCCCCTTCAGACCCGGATTCCCTTTAGTTCCAAGGAAACCTATCTCCCCCTGGTAGTGGAAATTGTACAGTGTTAGTCATCAAATGATTCAAAACATGATAAAAAACTTGACTTTTGGCCCACTCACTGGGAGTCCAGGGTATCCAGGGAAACCAGACTCTCCCTTGGAGAAGAAAGCAGAAAGTTCATGTAAGTTTAACATGTAATATTAACCAATTTTAACTGCAGATGGATGGGATATTTTTAATATTGATTCGCTTTCAATACTTTCACTGAATTTATCATAAGTGTCACAGAGGGAGCAAACATGCACAGAACAGTACTGACAATGGCAGAAAATTCATGCAGAGTATCAATTTGTTTATTCCTTTTTACGACAATACCCCACATGCAGGACCAGCTGGTCAAAAGTGCAGTCACTCTTAGGAACAATACCTTTAGTCCGCTGGATCCAGGTTCCCCGTAGCCATCAGTACCATCCTGGCCCTGTTTCAAGGGAAAACACTTTAGTCTCTCTGCAGTGGAAGGGCCTTCAAAGCCCAGTGGCTCCACATGACAGGGAACGGCTTACCGGTGACCCTCTCAGACCTGCTGGTCCTGGTTCTCCTTTCAAACCCATATCTCCCATTTGGCCCTTTGGAGAAACACGGGCAAGAAGTTATTCATGGCAACACCTTCCCTGCAGTCTGCTAAGCCTCCTGCACCAGTGAGTAACTCATAGACTGTTACTGATTACTGAACCTTGTTAACTGGCGCTGGCCCATTGGTAAACAAGCACAACTCTTGTTACAAAATATATAATATCTTTCCCCTGCAACTACTTGTCACTGCCTGCATGTAGAAAACACACGCCATCTGTTGTACCCCACTGAGGAAGACCTGCAGTCATTCATCTGGAGGTTTACTCTTTTGTGTTGACAAAACCATAAAGGGTCAAACCCATTATAGGCACCTGTGTGTCTGTGGAACGTCTGTGGACTCACGTACCTTCATTCCTTTCATGCCTGAAGGTCCAGGACGTCCTTTCTCACCCAGAGCTCCTGGTGGACCCTGGGAAATGCAGTTCTGGGTTACTGTCATCAAACATATGGTGGAATCTGTTTCATATCACAGATTGTGTTACACAAAACAGTGTTCTAATTTACTTACTATTTAATAGCATTGTAGCTCCCAACCAACAGAGAAAAGAGCTATTAAATATCGCTCCAAATAGTCATCTAACTTAGTGCTTCATTGCCTCTTTAGTGATGCTGGGCAGACGCCATTGAATGGCTGGCTGATTGCTCACCTGAGACCCAGGTAGGCCAATAACACCTTTGGGTCCGGGAGGCCCAGAGTTTCCTCTCTGCCCCTGTTGAATAATCAACACATAATGGTTCAAACATCAGTGCATCTTCTTCTACAGTAATTCATAAACCGGGCAATGAGCATCTCAAATATCAAAATGGGCTATGCAAAAGCTACCCAGTTTCTATGACCTGTACATATCTGGCATCATCTAGTAATGTCTTTTCGACAAGACTATTCCAGTTGTATCTGTTGAAATATGTTTGATTTTAGAGGTGGCCAGTTTGGGGCTTTCTTCACCCCAGGGAGGGAGGCATGGAACTACAGGAATGATTCTCTTTCATCTGCTTTGTCTACAAGAGATGTGTTGGTTGACTTTCACCTACTAACAGAAGAAATTCAAATGCCTTCAGTTTATTGCAGACCTCTGAGGGCCAAAGGATGGATGTAATGGTGGACAATGACGCATACCTGTGGCCCAGGGGACCCAGGGGTCCCCAAAGGTCCTGTTGCTCCTGAATTTCCCGGTGCCCCCTGCAGGTGAATAGTGGGTAAATCTGAGTCCCTCCAATTGCAGCCCCCACACATAGACATGCGTACACGTCTCTAAGCAGCCTTACTCCTACCGGGATACACACACACTATAAGAACAATTATAGTCTTTCTCAAAAATGACTACTTTACCGGAGAACCTGGTTGACCTCTTCTGCCATCAAGACCCTTTGAAAAGGAACATGAAATGTTTGTTTATCAATCCTTCCATCTTCCACCACTGCTTAATCAGTACAGGGTCACGGAAAGCTGGATGCCCGTCCCCAGCAGCACAGGGGACAAGAAAAGGGACACCTCTGGACAAGACGCCAGTCCATCGCAGGACATACACTCATACAAGAAACTGTGAACAATTCACTTGACTGCATGTTTCTGGACTATGTATTACTAATTTATGTAATACTCATTTTGTAAACTTAACTGAAATACCTGAGAAACAAGGGATGTGGTTTACTAATGGTTTGGGCATGAAGGACACTTACCTGGTTACCTGGACTACCTAGATATCCCGGCTCTCCATTGTCCCCAACATCACCCTGCAAGTTGTGGTACCAACAGGATGCATTAGATATCTCAGTTTTTTAAATCAAAATTCTCTATGCTTTCCAATAATTCATGTCTCCTGCCTGTCTACACATACAGTAGCATGAAACAGGCCACACCCACCGCATGTGGGCCAATCAGAGGCACCTCTTCAAATTGCAACACAAGACTTCGCTGAGGTTTATGCATCTGGTCGTGTACCTGTAATCCAGGGTATCCTCTTTCCCCTTTGGCACCTGGGACATTGTTAGGAGTTCCAGGTTCTCCCTGAAAAAACATGGGTTATACAGGAATGGTAATCATGTCCACAAGTACAGCACAGTCAGTTCAACTCAAGTGACCTATTCAGCCACTGTGATCCTTAGTAAATTAACAAACATGGTAATTCAGCACCTTGAGGTGAGGTTGATTTTTTCGTAAATTATCACCAGTTCCCCTTTGCTGTATCCACAGATTTCTACAGCCCCCTGTCATGCCACCAGTGGGGCATCTTTAGCCTGATTTATGACTGTTTGTAGGTTCTATGCAGATCTTACACTGCGGGCCAGGGGCGGACTGGCAATCTGTACGTTCTGGAAAAGTCCAGAACGGCCGTCTGATCCACGGCCGTCGGCCTGCCTTTCCTCTTAAATGGGAAATCAGCTAACAGCAGATGGCGCTAATACTATCATTTGTCCGGTGAAATCCATCAGTAAAAGCCAACAAAAAAGAGCGAATCATAAGTTGCAGCTGCGGGAATTATGGCAAGTCGAAAACGTAAGGAGAAAGGAGGATGGGAAAAGTTAAAAGACATGAAAGCCAAGTCTCTCGAAAATGATGCCTCAAAATTGGCTGCAGTTTAACTGCCAGCAGCAGCAGTAATGTAGATTAAAACGCTAAATCACCAAGCAAGAGTGTTGAAGACCAGGTGAAAGTTGAACCTGTTGAGCATTCACAGACTGGTCACAAGGGACAGACAGCAGAGGAAATTTCATGGGAGGAAGAGGTACCTGTACTGGTAAGTGGCCTCAACATAAAACAACAGGCCTATTCTACATTTATTCTTATAGTCATCCAGTCAGCATCTAGTAACTCTCGTGACATGCTAAAAGGGAAAGAGGGCTAAATAAAGCTCTACAGTATGTTAAACCAAAAATTTGGGGAGGGAAAATCTCATTGTTTTCCATTTAAGTGCAATTTGTTTCTGTCTTTCTGTGGTGGGCTATTGTGGAACTGACACTTAACATACAAATCTGGGGTTTGTCTAAAGCTTGATTAGTATTAGCTGGTGGGCCTATTTGGGAGAAAGTCCAGGGCTGTTTTTTAGTCCCAGTCCGCCCCTGCTGCGGGCTATGCAATTAGCCTATGCCATTACGAGCATTTATAGTTGTGTGTGGTCAAGATGTATGGTCACATTTCTGGGGATGTGCACATCAGTCTACGGCACAGGCTACGCAGCTATTGAGTACCAATGGTATTGATTCTACGCACAACCATAAATCAGGCTTTACAGTTTGTGATAGAGGACCATCCCAGCAAATGTAAGTACAGATACAGATCTCTCCCTCTGGCATGGGGTTCATTATAATGCCTGTAATTACAAACATCCCTTATGGATTTGTAAACACACTGTGTTTACATGTTTAATGAAATGGAAATTTGTTGGTGTACTGGATATGGTAGGTTTTCTTGGTAAGACGTCTGGGTGAGCTGTGACACCCGGGTGGCTGATGGGTATGAAGTGTGACACATCGAGACTCACCGGGTCGCCTCTCAAACCGGGCCGACCTTTCGCGCCAGGTTCTCCTGGAGTGCCCTGGTAGCCCTGCAGTGCACAACCAAGAAAGTGGGGGGTTAGTGAGCTCCATGGGCCCAGCACTCAGCACCCAGCATGTCCTTAAGCAGCCCAACCTTTAATATCATCATGGAGACTGGCTTTCTGCAGATGCGAGGCTTCCAGAACTTGGTCTTCATAACATTGCCTATTACTTTTTAACAGCTGACCTTTTAGAAAATCATTTTTGACCAATTTATTCAATCGCTTGCATTTTAATTTGAAATACTATTGGTTTTGGCCCTTATAATTAATTAACAATACGAATTTTCCATCCATCTCCCCACCACTTATCCTGGGGACTCCGGAGCCTGGGCCAGGTAGCAGAGGGCAGGGGGTCACCCTGAAGGGGTTAGTCCATCATAGGAAACATACATAGGCAATTCACTTTAGGCAATTTAGAGACACCATTAAGCCTAACTAGCCTAACTACATGTCTTTGGACCACAGAAGGAAACCAGAGGATCCAGAGGAGAACATGCAAAGTCCACACACATATGAAATGCATGCGGGGGTCCAGTAAAAGAGCAGAGTAAGTTGGGAGGCATGCACACAGTGAAAGAGGAACACATGGCCGATAGGATGAAAACGATGTCCTTAACTGGGCTGCCTGGGTCTCCTCTCTCTCCTTTCTCCCCAGCCGAACCTGCGGTGCCCTGTTCAGGATGGCACAGGAAAAGTCACTGTTATGACATCAGCCATTCGAACACCCTTGTGATAGATACAGTGTGTTCATGTATGATTCTGCCATTCAGTCAATAACTCAATATGTATTGTAATTAAATGTACGCAAGTCAGTCTGCAGGGGCAATGCTATTGTACCAACTGCGGCCACTACTGATACTGGCCCACAAAGGCAAAACACAGTAACTGCGTTGGCAGTGAAATTGAGAAAAAGGCTTTCAAAATGTTTTGACTGTCCAGCTGCAGGTCTAGCTATAGTAGGTAGGTAAATTATAGTGTTTTTTTTTTTTTCTTCAAAACAGAGTATATACGGTAAAACACAGCCTACTATGGGAACATTATATACTATGGGAAATCATGAATTGTTCATCATATATTGTTACCAATATGTTGTTATTCAAATTTTACACATTTTGCACCTTGCCTTTCTCCATTACTTGTGTCTGGTGCTCTCCACATTTTGTAACCTTTGACACGGACTGACACATTGTTTTTCATAAGGCATTATCAGGTTTGTTAGGTCTAAGCAAAGACAGAGTTTTCTGGAAAAACATTTGACGCTACGGGTACCTTATCTCTGTGATGGGCCCTGGACCAATTAGGACACTGAAACAAGCCTATACACTTTTCACAGATCCACTAGTGTTCATCTTTTCATTTCCTTTTGCTTCATACTTCTATTCTTTTATCTACTATACATTAAAATTAATCATTATGGAACTCAACAGTCTGCAAAGTTGTTTATTTCCAGCACAAACCAACATAACTCAGTTCTCATATAATCTGTAGTTAATGAGTTTTGCCTTTGTGGGGCAGCAGAGTTCTACCCTTATGTTTCCTGCTGGTCTGTGAGCCCATGTAGCTCTGGTCACCTGTTGATGAATACAGCTCAGTGTCTTACCTGTTCACCCCGAACGCCATCCAGACCGTTCTCCCCAGCCTCACCCTGTCAGATAGAATGCCCCATCAGCACCAGAGCTGCTCAGACACAATCCGTGTGACTATCTTTGCTAGGCTGTTTTTAAAAATGGTTAAGGTACTGGTAAGTGGCCTCAACATAAAACAACAGGCCTATTCTACATTTATTCTTATAGTCATCCAGTCAGCATCTATTACAATGACCTGTATGATGATGAAAAATATATTCTATATAAAAAATATAGACGCTCTAAAAATTAATTGCGAGATGGCTGTGATTTTATCTTGTCAGTAGTATGGTC